GAAAATGTAAATTTACACATAAATAATTATGTACATATACTGAGACTACTATTCACTTCACTGGATATGATTACATATGTTGTTTCAAATATATTGATTATTATACTTGTAATATTAATTTTGTGCAGACCAAATAATTAATAAGTTTTTGTATAGAGTTCTGTTTATCTTGAAGAGCTTCTTTCAGGCACATCGGGATAGCAAACGATGTTCTTTGTTGTACGTATTTTTGGCAATGTAATATGACATGTTCTACAGTTAAAAGTTGGTCGCATGTTTGGCACATCGGAGGTTGTTCTTTCTTCAGTAGATAGCTGTGCGTTAGTTTGGTATGTCCAATTCTTAGTCGAGCTATGGCTATCTCGTGTAAACGTTTCCGTTGGTGTGATGTCTTCCATAGAATTGGAGTGGCTTTTATATTTCGCAATTTGTTGCTGGTTACTTCAGTCCATTGGTTATGCCAATTTTCTATTAGTTGGTGCGTATAATATTGAACTGTGTCGTCCCAGGTACCTCGACGTTTATCACATCCATAGTTTGGGCTGCAAGTTTGGCTTCTTGGTCGACTTTTTCATTTTCGGCAGTGTTGACATGTCCCGGAATTCAGCACAGTTTTAATGGGAAATTGGCTAGGGTTAGTAGAGTTCTGATTTGGGTAACTAGTGGGTTTTGGGAATGGGTATATTTAATAGCTTCGATTGCACTCAGTGAGTTTACGCGGGATTCTTTTATCTAGAATAAAATTTTTGTTTTTGCCCATTAAAACGCATTCCTATCGCTAATAAATTATATCAACCTTTTAGCAAAAGTAATCAAAGTGCCCATAAATTAAAACTGAAGTCACTTAATTTAACAAAACAAAATTAATAACAAAATACACAATAAATTGCCCTACATTTAACAATTCTAGGAAATAATCTTTTACAAACAAACCACTTAGATAAAACTAGAAACTCAATACTCGCTTTGTGTTTACACGTAAAGCAGTTGCATTAAAGTCATCTAGTGTAAATGACAGCAGAAAGTCCTAAACTTGTTTGAAATAAATAGTGGAGAAGTAAATGGTAGTGTCTCTTGTGATGAAAACAATGACGACGAAGTGTTACAGCAATGTACGTCTACGACATCTAAAGTTTGTCCATAAAACGACGATGCGGAGCCATCAAAGGTACCCTTTACCTTGGAAACATGTTCGAATAGGTATGGTATGATTACTTGTGTTATAAAATATTTACGACAATTCAGCGTGACAACTGCATAGCAGAAAATACCACAGTTGGAGAACTCATTTCAGGGGCATATTAGCCATTTTTTTTAGTAGTCATGCTTTATTTCAGAAACTAAAAGACTTAAAAGTTGGAGCTGTCGGCACAATATGACTTTCGATTCGACACCACGAATGAAATTCTAATTGTTAAATGGAATGCCAATAAGTGCGTTTCAATGGCCACAAATTTTGATAAGGTAGAGCCTCTAGCTTCAGTTACATGATGGAGTAAGAGGGAAAAAGTTCGCATGCCAATTCCTCAACCATGATTGGCTTTTAGAGAAGTACAGCATTGCCAGCCGCGGAAAGAAAAATGGTACTGGCGTTTATTCACCAGGATAATAGATATGGCAGTAATTAATTCGATTTTGCTGTATAGAACAACTGCAGCAATCAACACTATAAATATGTTGGATAAACAAAATCGTTATGAAGCTCGTTTGCGCCGCAATGGTGCACATTTTGAACATGTAAATTAAAAAATAAATACGATGTTCACTTTCGGTACTGTTTATTTATACTGTATTTGTTTAATTACACCGGTCAAGAAGAAAATAATTTGCGCATGGGATTTACATAATATATTCTGACTATAATGAGCAAAAATAAATAAAAAGTGCGATTGGGCATCGAAAATATTTGCTTTTACAAAAGTTATAGCGATTTGATTGAAAGCTTTCAGGGTCAAAAATTAAAGCTGGAATCTTTGTTTTCCCTCAAATAAAAAGAAATATGGAGTGTGATATTTTCCCGCGGTTACTGAGCAAAGAGGAGAAAAAATCCTGGAACAGTTTTAAGGCAATAGTCCATGGTTTCCCGTTCAGTGTTTCCTGGGAAACCATACGGCAGAAAATTATGACGAGCTAACAGGCTTTGGTTTTGTACCATCGGGCATAGAATGTCTCTAAAAAGATGCACAGGTTACATTCTCATGTAGTCCATTTAAGGATAATATGGGAGCTTATTCGTAAGAACAGAGAAACACTTTCATCAAGACATAATGGAATTTGGGCACGTTACCAAGGCCAGTAAACTGGAAGCATATGTAAGATATTTGGGGGGTTGATAAGAAAACCTTCTGTTGAACATGACAGAAAAAGCAAAACTGTTCCATTTTTAAACATTTAGACTCTAAGACAAACAAATTATAAATGTAGAAACGTTACGTTTTAATAAATCATTCCTATGTAAGTACAGATTTTAGGTATTTTTATTTATTTGGTTTTTTGCATTTTTTTCACACCAAATCAAATACAGAACCTTTTTTTGTTCTAATTCTTATTTGTGGCTATACAAGCAATAAAAATAAGGTATGTATGTCCCATGCGCAAAAATGCTGTAGACCGGTGTTACATTTTAAACAACTGTTTTCGTAAATAAACAAATGTATTTATTTAAGACCACGGCACAGAATGTAGATAAACGTTTAGATCAAGAACCTTTCCAAACAACAGAAAACGATAAAAAGGTATGGCAACGTATGGATAAAATGTAATATTTACTTATACATTTGTAGAAATTTCAGAATTCTATGGAGAGTCGAAGGATTGTAGACATAGTATACTTCATTTCATCCCTTGTGGAATCATGCACCACACTTTGGATGTACCGGGTGACCCAATAAGACTGTTCCTCTGCCATATCTCGGGAACCGTTCGTCGTATGGCTTAGGGTTACAAAAATTATTGGATAAATCGGTTATGAAGAATCGCTGGAAAATATTTTCTAAAAATGACCACCAGAGGGTAACTGCCACCTTAAATTTTAAAATTGCATTTTATTTAAATTTCGCATAATAAACTAAACATCATTTTTTCACATTTTTAAAATGCAATTTTAAAATTTAAGATGGCAGTTACGCCCTCTGTTGGTCATTTTTAGAACTTGAAAATATTTTCCAGCGATTCTTCATGACCGATTTATCCAATAATTTTTTTCACCCCTGTCATATGACTCAAGGTTCTCGAGATATGGCCGAGGAACAGTCTTATTGGATCACCCGATACGCTTCAAAACATGAAAACTATCGATGAGGAACGAACCGGTTTTATGTGTTATTTAAATGTTAAGTACATTCTGTAATGGCTCGTTTACAATTCCCAGCGCAAAACCGTCTAAAAGTAATATAAACAAAGATGCTGTTCTGGGCAGAATGTAGACAGGTTCCGGATCTGGAACTGCGGCTATTCACACAAAAAAGGTTTTGTTTATGGGTGTCCGAAACAAATTTTGTATGATTTGCGATTCCAAAAAGAAACAAAGTAAAACTACGCCCAAGACCCACCACTCTTCTACAAATATGGAAGCTAACATTATTGCAGAGGGGTTTCAAATAAGTATAGCAATGGATGGCCTGATGGATAGCCGATGGAGAGTATTGCTTATAAAAATTCTTTGCTAGTACACCCGAATGAAGCACATAAAGTGAAGAAAATCGAATGTAAAAACCATTTATTGCGAAATTACTTCAGGAAAATTTGTTCAGGGCGCAATAGAAGGTCTGCAAATTTACGGAAAATGATTGAGGTAAGAAAAACGAGTAATATTTATGTTCTATTTGAATTTTTACATAGGTACCTAAAGGAATTTTTTTAACATTATTAATTTATGTAGCAAAATCAATTAAGATTACGGTGGGGAATAACGAAGACCATAACAAACAGGGAAAATGCAGGAACATCCCTTGAAGAAAAAATAAATAATTTAAAGAGAGATATCGGTAACTCCCTTAGTCACGTTTTTGACGAGCATCGAGAGTGCAAATGTTTAGCTTATTTTTGCAATAATGATTACATCTCAAGCAATATTTTAAATGACGTAGTTAAATGGTACGTGTGAGGTAAAAGTATTACGTATTCATACAATATTAGAATATTTTTTTGTTTTAGATTTGTATCAACAATTATGCAATTTTAAAGATTACTTAGTTCGGCATGCGGACGGTTTGATCTACGATATGGAAAACAATTGCGTTGAAAAATTTAATTCGGTAATCGCTAAATTTATCGGTGGAAAAGGATTGCCAGCGGCGATCCGATCAAACCAGATGCGCAGCTGCTGTTGAGACCTATCACACCGTACGAAAGCTTCTGTCATCGCCGGGAAAAAGTCCAAGCAAACAGACTAAGACATTGGAAAACAGAAGAATTGAAATAAATGAAAATAGAAAACCCAGTGTAAGAAGATATTTTGGAAAAATACTAATGAAGATAGTAGTAGCATTGTATTTATAACGAATAGTATGGCAACGTCAATGCTATGTTTGGCGAACGTTTTATGGATGCAAAACATCAGTACTTTTGGATGCAACCGTCAGAGGCGCAACAGCCATAGCAAGCTAACAAACAAACTTCATCAGTTGCTGTTAGATGAATGGTTTTACTGCCCTTTCACAATCATGTTAATGTTAATGGTAATGGTAACGTAATGTTAGAATGTTAACCTCCAGATAATGGCATTACAAGCAAAGCGTTCACAATGATGGTAATGGTAATGTTAACGTAAGATGGTAATGTTAAGGTCCAGAAATTTTCTGGATCTACTAACATCGGCGTTAACATCCTCCAATAGAATTGCAGCTACGGCAAAATGCAGCGCATGCGCATGTGTTGACTGCTGACCGCGTGAACTGTCACCCATCGCGTCATATTTATTTAAGCTCTGCAGTTCGTTTGAATTTCTCGTTTGCCTTGTTGTTTTCGTGTGCAATTGCAGGTTTTTGTTATTTGCTGTTGCGTTCGGTGCAATGATGGTTGTTGACGTCTCGTTACTGTTGGAGTTAATACAACAATACCCATTCCTCTACGATAAACAACGCAGCGATTTTAAAGACATAAAGAAAAAGAACAACGCCTGGATTCAAATTGCTGAAACCCTTAACTGTAATGGTAAGTTTCCAAAAAGCATTATTATTTTGAGTCTTTAATATTGAGGTTATATTTATATTTAAAGTGGAAGAAGTGAAAACTCGATGGCGAACACTCCGGGAGAAGTTTACGAAGGAGATAAGAAACCATGACTTAAATACGAGAAGTGGACAAGGCCAGGAAGACACCGTTGGGAAATGGGAGTGGTTCGATAGCATGGCGTTTTTGAGCGACCACGTCAAGCAGCGAAAAACTACAAACAGCAGCCTGACAAAAGTTAGCAACAACAATAATGGTAAGTTATTTGCTAGAGTGTAATAATAAACAGACATTGCGATGATTGGTCGTTGCAGGTACTGAAGAGGGCACGGACGCAGAATTAGCGGGCAACAAAGAAGATGAAAATGAAGACAGAAGCTTATTGCCTCCCTGTTCATCATTGTCTGGGGAAAACCATCAAACACCAAGGGCGAGTATGAAGCGGAAACAGTGCCAGGGAAAGGACTCCGGCATCGAACTTGAGATGCTGAAGACTTTGAAAGACCTTGACAAACCACAACAGGACGATGAAGATGACATTTTTTGCAAAGCCGTCGCATGTGAATTAAGGAAAGTAAATGATACTCAAGAGAAGCAGAAGAGGAAGGCAAAAATTTATTTAATTGCTACAGGCATTGAATTGTAATACATAGTTTCTTAATAATAATAGTTCATAATTTGTTGTACATATAGTAGGGGAGCTAGCACGAAATCCACTGAACGAGAATGATCCAAATTTTAACCGATGGAGTTCCATTTTGCCCTATCAGAGTATGCTAAAATCGATCGTCTGCCGCCTCAGGTCATACGACTTAAGGCGCTGCGGGTACTTCTTGTGGTACCAATTCTGAAAGGTTGTTTTTCGAAAAAATAAGTTATACACCAAATGAAAACGTTGATAATAGCTCTTAAAAAAATATTTAAAAAAATCGCGCACATTTGATAACTCCGTAAAAAAACAATTCTTAGTCGGTTTTTCACGAAATTTGTACGGATATAACTAGGTTACCGTTGGAAGAATGAAGCTGATTATTTTTACAGACTAATGATAGGTACAGCCAATGGCTATGAGAGTGTTTCTTTTTTAAATTTTTTCTCTAATTATAAGATATCTTATAATGTTAAGCTAATAAGATAATCTTGTAATTAGAGACAAAATTTAAAAACGAAACACCGTTAAGTCATTAGTAGTACCTATCATGAGTCTGTAAAAAAAATCAGCTTCATTCATCCCACCGTAACCTAGTTATATCCGTAGAAAGTTCGTGAAAAACCGACTAAGAATTGTTTTTTTACGGAGTTATCAAATGCGCGCGATTTTTTTAAATATTTTTTTAAGAGCTATTATCAACGTTTTCATTTGGTGTATAACTTATTTTTTCGAAAAACAACCTTTCAGAATTGGTACCACAAGAAGTACCCGCAGCGCCTTAAGTCGTATGACCTGAGGCGGCAGACGATCGATTTTAGCATACTCTGATAGGGCAAAATGGAACTCCATCGGTTAAAATTTTGATCATTCTCGTTCAGTGGATTTCGTGTTAGCTCCCCTACTAATATTGGCCCGTATGAATAAAAGTAAGCAAATGCTTATACTTGCAAAATTCAAAGTAAATATTCGTAAGTGCTCCTTCGCACTGGGCGACTTAGCAGCGCTTCTAAGCAGAAGGACAGGACGCAGTGCAGCGCTGCTAAACCATGCTAAATACACTAGTATGAAGGGGCAGTTACGAGTATTTACTTTGAATTTTGCAAGTATAAGCATTTGCTTACTTTTATTCATACGGGCCAATAACTTGAAAATATTTCACTGAAATTTACATCCTTCACATAATTAACTTGCCCAGGCAACGCTCCTGCAGGGCTTATGAGGTACTGAGTTAATGTTTCTCGTAATTGTAGCGCTGCTCTTCCAGGGTTATTCCCTCCCCTCCCGGTTTTGTGTACGTCTTGTAAGGTCACATTTCCATTTTGCTCCACTTCTCTCCTCCAAGCACCCGGTACTATTCCATCATCCGTTTCACTGTCACAAAATGAAGCCGGGCAATATTTCTTTCTGCATTCAGGTACGTTATATTCTTTTTGTTTCAAAAAATTGTGCAAGCAGACCGTAGCCTTCACGATGCTGTCCACTGTTGAGGGACTTGCTGTTATAGTGCGAGTAAAAATTCTCCATCTAGTAACGAGAATGGCAAAGCAATTTTCAATAACGCGTCGCGCACGACTCAATCTGTAGTTAAAAATATTTTGCTCAAGGGTCAGGTGAAGTCCTTTAAAAGGTTTCATTAAATGTTTCATTAATGTGAAAGCGTCGCCGCCAACAAAAAAGTATGGTATTTTGATGCGGCTGTTCGGCAGAAAGTCTTCCGAAGGAATAGGTAAATCTCCCGATTGCAACGCTTCTCCTAGAGCTGAATTGGCAAGTACTCCACCATCACTTTGGGACCCATACGCACCTACGTTGATATAGGTGAAATTATAGTGTGCATGGCATAAGGCCAAAAGAATGATACTGAAGTGCTTCTTATAATTGAAATATTCACTTCCAGATTTTGCAGGACACTGGATACCGATATGTTTTCCATCCAAAGCTCCTAAAGTATGTGGCAAATTCCATCTCATTAATAACTGATTAGCAATTCTTTTGAAGTCTTCTTCACTGAGCGTTTTCAACACGATTTTATTTAGCACTCTCCAAATTACTATCGTAGTCTCTCTAATAACCATTGACGCAGTGGAACGTCCTATTTTGTAGCCAGATGCTATACTGAACACGGAGTCGCCTTGCGACAAATATCTGCAAAACCTTTTTTCTCTTACAATCAACCTGAGCGTGATCGCGAGTCTTTGTGAAGCACAAAGAGGTTCTCGGTAGCTCTTCTTGGTCAAACTAGGTCCTACAAGACTCAACAAATCATCGAATTGCGCCGAAGGAGTCATCCTGGTATACAGAAAGAACCATTCGTGATCGATAACCTAAATGATAAATGAATTATTTTAATGTAAACCGTTTTAATATTTACTCTTACTTTGTATTTCTGAAAGACAGTCACAAATTCACCGCTCGTTTTTCGTTCTCTCAGTACCGGGCGAACACCCCAGCGTCTACTCCTTTGCCTTTGCTTTTCTTTCATCCTTCTATCGATTCGTCTCAGTAGCATCACTTTCAAGATCGCAATCGCAATTCTTTTCCTGCTAGGCATTTTTACAACCTCCCAAACGCAACTTGCAAAATGCAAACTTCAATTAAAGGTTATATTTTTACGGCCCGTCAAACAACCACAGACCAAATCAAAGAATTTAAACAGACAATTTATTTTTCGTTGCGCCCTCCAGCGCCACCACAAAACACTGTCACTTTTGAGTGGGGGAACTTCCTCTACCATCAACATTAACAGTATTGTGAATAGCGTTACCATTACCATTAGCATTACCATTAACATTAACATGATTGTGAAAGGGCAGTTACAGATATTTTTACGTTCACCTTAATAAGTGGTTTATACAAACGCTGTTTCAGTAACTACATTGTACTCAAAACGTTATCATTTGAAATTGGATATCACACATATGTATGTATACTATGCACAGCAGTAATGATTTAATGAAGTAGAGCAATTTAAAAACTAACGTGGCTTTATATACGTTAATTGACAAAACGCTTATTTGGCAAATAATAAATTCCGAAATTCTTTTGACGACTAAAAATGTACCTACGCGCGCATACTGACATTGCTAAGGAATAGAAGATAATGCGACAGACGTGCTGTCTACTGAGCCGTGATACCAGTTTACTATACCTACACCTGTGCTAGTTAAAACAATAGGTTTTGCAGTTTTTAAGCTTACTTTGAAAGTGATTTATTAAAGTTTTCTTTTCTTTTCTGCACTCTTGTTTTGTATAAATACGCAGTTATAAGGTTATAACTTATAACGTTTACTTAAATATTTCATATGAACGAACGAATGCATTTGTCACATTTGTGTGTTATACCCAGTATACACGTTACCTGATGCAATTTTTTAAATTATTGATTTGACCTTTTAATTTAATTTTCTCATTTTGAATTATACCATTGAATAAAGGTGCTTATTCAATGATTATATGGTATCTGAATTTTACAATAATGGCCGGTAATAGGTGCCAATTTACCACCTGTATTTTTTTTTTATTTATTTATTGTCCCTCTTGTTCTAGGCCCTTAACAGGCTTACGCCCAATTACAGAGTGACCCGCATAATGCTTTTTAGAGGTGCCCTTCTACTATTAAAAGTAAGAGAGCGTATGCAGGTCTAAAAATGTATAGATTTCCACAGAACGTTCATCGTGCACAAAATTGGATTTTGTTATCAGGTAAGAAAATTCATTTAAGCAATTGTTGAAATGTAATCTAGTTAAACCGTAATGCAAAAAGGTTTTGAGTATACAGGGTGACAATTTGAAAACTTACCACCCCCCATATCTTAGTAAATAAACGAGATATTTAAAAAAATCAAAACCCGTTTCGGTAATTCGGAGGGGGAATCACAATGACATAGTTGGCGACGCACTCCCTCACACCCCCTGCGCCCTAGCCACCCCAACTTTTAAATCTTAAATAGTGACTCCCCGTTGTGTGATACGTCATTGGAAAGCTCTGAAAAAATGCTTTCCAACCATACCAAATAGCATTACATTTAGGTTAGTAATTATCGTGCAAATCAAAAAATAAACTAATATGATACATTTGAAATCTATCGTATCTAAAACGCAACCGGCGAACATAGACGAACTAAGACAGAGAATAATTCAAGAATGTCGAAATATTGAAAAACCAACATTGGAAAGGTTCGACAAGAGTTTGAGAATAGATTATAACTGACGATCAAAAATGAGTTGCTGTCGAGTCGGGTTTGGAAGTTCAAGTTAAATACGATTTTCCATGTTTATTTTTTGATTTGCACGATAATTACTAACCTAAATGTAATGCTATTTGGTATGGTTGGAAAGCATTTTTTCAGAGCTTTCCAATGACGTATCACACATGGGGAGTTCCTATTTAAGATTTAAAAGTTGGGGTGGCTAGGGCGCATGGGGTGTGAAGGGGTGCGTCGCCAACTATGTCATTGTGATTCCCCCTCCGAATTACCGAAACGGATTTTGATTTTTTTAAATATCTCGTTTATTTACTAAGATATGGGGGGTGGTAAGTTTTTAAATTGTCACCCTGTATGAAGGGGAATAATGCCAATTTTAAATTAAGAATCATTCAGATCAATTCTTATTTATACTTTAGCAAAAATTTTGTCCTTTTTAGTAGAAACTAATTTTTAAAATAGGCAATTCCCCCCCCCCCCCCTGGAGATACAAATCGACTATTTGGATTTTTGTCAAAACATATTTTATTTGATAAGTTTAAGGGCGAACTTTTTTGCTATTATAGGAATTCCCTTAGTACAAAGACACTACATAAAAGGTAGGTACATATGTGAAGACCATTTTGAAGATTCGGCGTTCACATCCCCAATGCGAACAAGACTGAGAAAGGACGCCACGCCAATTTCACACCAACTGTCCGAAAACGTAAAAGAAGTGATTAGTAGAAAGTCTCCAGCTGCAGTTTCATCAAGCAGTAATTTTTCAATTTAAAACATGTTTTGTCTCCGCAACTTGTATATCACATTTATGTACAATTTTCATCAGAGGCCTCTTCACAGCCCAAAGGTTACGGTTTGGTGCGCCGTGTCCGCCATTAGGATCATAGGCCCTTACTTTTTGGGGAAGTGACCGCGACATCCCAACGATACTGCAACATGTTGGAGGAATTTTTGCATGACTGACGACACTGAAAACTTATTCCAGTGGGGCTACCTCAAGAGTGAGGTCTACAAACAGCGAAAGGCTCCACATGTGCGTCACTTGCCAAGGCCGTCATTTGGAGGATATTGTTTTCAAATCATAAGTAAAAAAGAACTTTATCATGTTAGCTTTCCGAATAAAAAAGAATTTTTTTTATCAGCTCCTTCAAATGTGAGAGAACTAGTCGCCGCATCCTGTATTTTATGAAAATATGAGACCGCACTTAATTTCAACATTTCCTCTCAAAAAAACTTACACAGTATATTGCTTTTAAATCGATTGAAACTGTTCACGAATCTGGTTATACTCAAAAGCGAATATATTATTCAATCCTATTGCGCGATTATTGCCTATAATGAAGAGGCCTCCCAAGAAGAGAGTAATGACCAAATGTAATTTCGATTACAGTCTTGTCATCCGGCCAGTGGGACAGAAATTTAATTTCCGTAACAGGACAATGAGCGAAAAATTTAATCATCGGAAATTATACACAAATATCAGTCCCCGCTAAACGAGTGTAGTGTTCTTGTTTTACAAAGAAATCCTATTAAGAAAAGTATGATAATAAATTTACATTTAAAGCGCGAGATATAAAATTGAAATTTAAAGCTAAGCCCCACTGATGCTCATAGCTGCATTGGATATCTTTATGAAAGCAACGACGTGTCTTACAAGATAAATCACCTTGACAGCAATCGCTTCCACAACTTTGATGACCAAGCACCCGAATAATTGCACCCGAAGAACTAAAAATTGAAAAATGTAAATTTGATGGTTTCTAAAAATTGAAGGTTTTCACGCTCAATAGACATCATCTGTTTTGCAATAGTTTGAAATGCTAATTTCGTACATTTGCATGCGTGTAATTAACATGAATATTCATGGTCTGCTACAAAATAAGTAATTTATTGAAATAGATAATTACAATTATTTTAACGGTGTATAACTCAAGGGTTTACTTTAATTGTAAAAAATTAGCCGACATATTACTCCAAATTTTATTAACAAGCCTAGCGAGACCTTTTGTTAACCACTATTCCGACTAATGGAATTTAGTTTTTTTCCGGTATGATATAGCGAATATGATTGAATATTATTAATTGTCAGCGATGTGCATGTTGGTTTTACATTTGTTGTTAAAGTGTACATGTTTCTGGTCAATTGGTCAATTATCAGACAAATTCATCATTTTATACTACTAAATAATAAGCGTTTCGTCGGCTTAATCCGCAAATGTCGTAAGTCCACTTTTACTTGAAAATTACATTTTGGCGCCATCTGCTTGTCCTGGATTGCATCCATTTATACAAAAAAAATAACGCAACTAAAAATTAAAGAACCCTGCTTTTTCGACCGATTAACTTTAGACGTAAGTCCTTGTCGCTGTAGTTAGTAGGCAATAGTCGTATGTCCATGAACAGTAATGGCGTTTGTGTCACTGTGTAATTAACGACGGTTGAGGTGCTGTGTGGCAATGGATGATACCAAAATTGCAGTTGTAAGTATTATAAAGAGTTTTTAAAGTAGTGTTATTTCTCCAAACAATGTTTTATCTACATGGGTGTGGTACAAACTTGTGAGTGGACTTACGTCGTTTTCCACTTAGTGATATTTTTCCTGTTCTATCGTGAAACTGACGTATGTCCACATTGTAAGGACTTACGTCGTTTTCTGTACCTGTGAGAATATAAAAAATTAATGTTGTTTAGGTGAAATTACTTAACATAATTTTTGTAAGATCTATACTAAAAGGTTTTTTTCCCAGAAAATGCTTAACAGCAGAAGTATGAAAATTTTGAGGATGCTCAAACCCTTAACAGAAGATCATGAGTGCAATGTTACTGGTCAAGTTTCGGACAAAGAAAATGTTGCACCAAGTCAAAATACTGATGAGCATGTTAAACGATGCGAAGTGCAAAACATTGCAAATTACTACCAGCAAGAAATAGAAAAATCCCATGACATAATAGTGTTACCTGTCCTTAACAGCAATATTACAACCGAGTCTGATTTGTGCAATAATACCTCTTTGCCAGAAAATGTCGCATTCAATGAAGAGATTGAAGGTGATCTGTTGTTAGATATCCCAGAAGTAACAAATTTTCTATTAACTGATCAAACTCAGAGAGCAGGCTGTGATGAAACTTTAATTAATTTTTTTTTATTGGTACCCTATATTGCTTATTTAAAGTACGCCTCAGCGTGTTTAAATCAAACTTTTAAAAACGCGCGTGTTTTAAAGTTACCATGACAACATCAAAATTGAAGTAAATGTCAACTTTTTAATTACTGATCTGACAGGAATACTTTGCAACTTCAAATCAAATATTACTAACAGATATTTTCAAATACACAAACTTGTAC